GCCGCGGCACAAGGCTGGCAAATTCGCACGACCGACGCGTCGTCGTCGGCAGCCATCTCGGCGCGATTGCGACGTGCTGTGGCGCGCCACAACGCCGACGTGACGGGAGGGGGACCGAAGGCAGTGCAGCCAGCTTTGTCGCCGGCTTATGGTCCAGAAACGGTCATAAATCGCCCTGCGGACCGGGAATTATCTACAGCGAGCAGGGGAACGTCGCGGCGACGGAAAAGGGCCGTCTTCGGCACCTGGCCTGATAAAGTCGGGTTGCCGCGGTTTATAGCGCTCGCTTTCTGGCGCAGTCGTGCATTCCATTCCGACCCACTGAGATGTTTTGTGTTGTTCCATTAGTGGTGAGAATTCGACGGGACGGCCGTTACGGAAAAGGAGGAGATAATCTTTGAACGCTGACATTGTGTGCGTTGGGGCGAGCTCAAAAATGTTAACTGGGAGAGTCAGCAGAAGAGGTGCATACCACTTGGCTTTGGTGATAAGCTCCAGAATGAACGCTCAAATGCACATACAACAGCCACATTTTTTATAGGCGCGATACATGGGTTATGCATTCCATACCTATTCAGGCAAATTATTTCAATTTGTTCGGGCGAATGTAAAACCACTGAAATAAACCCAAACTGTACTTACAGTGATACGAGAGCACTGTTCAGTCCGCATTGCTTTGAATTCTATAAATTATGAGAAATTTTAGGACCACCGATTGCAACCTAAATGCCTGGTCGTATCTTGGATCGTTAGGCATTGGAGGAACGGTTAGTCGTACTGTTACTTGTCACTCCACGTTTCCCACAGACAATGCATAACACTATGCCGGCCCGCGGCTATCCGGCTTTGGAGCGCCGCAGAAACCCTCTCCCTGAATGTTTGCTCGCATCTGAGAGGATGGTAACAGGACGCCCACCTGAGTGGATAGGTCCTCTTAACCCACCGTCACCGGAGAGCTTCCTCAGAGAAGAGAGAGAGAGAGAGAGAGAGAGAGAGAGAGAGAGAGAGAGAGAGAGAGAGAGAGAGAGAGACGCGGCAACGGGAGACTGCAAACTGGACCTAAGGGCCCTCCAAATGACACACGATGCTCCACTAAAGGGGCTCCGCGATGCTCCGCTGAAACTCCACTCCTCAAGACTGAGCGAGTGGGTAAACTAGCGGGCGCTGAGAACACACCAATTACTGAGAGCCTCGCCTCGGACCTGGCTGGTGAGCTGATGGGTCACCCTGTGTACAGTTCAGGGGCATAGGTTTGTACTGGTCGATAAGATACAAACACCAGAAATGGACGGACGGAGAGTGTTTGTGGGAAAGTTGCTCAAGTGGAGTGGCTAGTCGTGCCGAGATTAAATTGCTTTCCTGTGTTAGACCGGTTGCACCGCAGACTTCGAAAGCAGTGTTGGAAAAGAACTAGCAACTTTTATAGACACGAGGCAGCACTTGTTTCATCTTGCACTTTGTTTCTGTGTAATGTTGAGTATAGGTAGGGAAAGTGGGGTAAGACGGTCAGGGTAGGTAAGACGGGTACCCCTCCGCAGACCAAGCCAATAGCGCTGCGAGCGAGAAAAATTAGGACCAAAATTGCCTTTCCCAGTACACACCACCATTGAAACCTGGAGAGTTTGTGTTCAGTCAATAATCTTTTATTTCGATTTCTTAAAAACACTTATTTCATTGACTACATCTATAGTGTATTGCGCAAACTTTTGTGTACATCACCATAGAATTAAATACTCGTAATTACTTGTGGTACACCCATATGACACCAGTGTTCATTTACCGTGAATTTGCTCCGCCTGCATCAAATCAAATTGTCCACAGAGAAAAATCGTGCTGAACTTCTAACATTGAGTCAGGGGTAAGACGGGCAAGTATGGATCCAATGGGTCTTAAAATGGTGAAAATATTTATGATGCTGTAGGAAAAAAGAAGCATTTCTGGTGGAAATATGTTCGATTTCGCTACTCACAGACATATCAGCAATATGTGGCGTCATATAACCCTCAGAAGTTTGTCACGCCACCAAACCCAATCATCATCATCATCACATATAAGCAATATTCCTTCGATACCTACAATGTATCCTTTAAAGTGACCATCCCATCCCCGCGCCCCGCTGGGGGGGGGGGGCAGAATCTGCCCCCTCCCGTTTTTCGCCAATAACTTCTAAACGCGTTACGCCAGCGACGTCAAACTTTCAGTACCTTATCATACATCAATTTGACACGTTCCCTGAAAATTTGAGCGAAATCCGTCGGATTTTTTTTTTTTTAGAAATTGACGTTTTAGTGACGTCATGTTCGCCATTTTCGGAATCAAGACGTAACAAAAAAGGTTATACGTGATTCTACTTTGTCTATCAAATGGCTATCTCAGTTTTTTGAAAATTTTGGATTTTGGCCCACTTTTTTTCAAAAAAATGACTTTTTTGGGAAAATAGGTAATTATAAAATCCTAAATTTTGAGTGTATCGAAAAAAACCGGAATATATGTCAGAGAAGTGTTCTATGTGCACCTATATACCAATATTTAGAAGAATCGGTTCAAAAATGTGGGAGTTATTCAAAATTGTATGACGTCACGACACACAAAATTTTTGAAAAATTATTTTTTTTGGAAGTTCTGGACCTCGTACGGAAACAAAAATAGCACCATTCGATTTGCCGTGAAAAACTGCATCAGATAGACACCTGTTTAGGCCTCAACAACCAACTTCAAAATTTGACCTCACTTGACCTGACCTTGACCTGACCTCGACCTGAAATTCATCCAGAGGTGGTCCATATCACTTATTGAGTGTGCCTATTGAATTCTATGAGTAAAATGACCCATAAAACATGTGTCGCACATGCCCTTTTCTATATTTTGTTTTTGGTGACCTGACCTGACCTGACCTGACCTTGACCTTGACCTTTGAATGACATTGTATGCAACGAATATTGTCTTGGTAGTCTAAGAACACGTTTTGGGCAATCAGTCTCAGTCCATTCTTCGGCAACTACGGTGCAAGGCCGATACTGTAGAAACTTGCATTTTGTACCCTTGACCTGACCTTGACCTGACCTCTGACCTACTTAAGCAAAAAAATTTGGGCATTTAAGATCCGTCTTGTTGAGAGCTTTCGATTGCCGTTTTCCCCGTCTTTCTACGACCATCGGCTCGGAAGTTAGACAGGGGGGGGGGGGCAGAATCTGCCCCCCCCGCAGGGCGCGTATGGCTGAATAGCCCAGCGGGGCGCGGGTTAACATACGTTTGGAGTTGTGATAGCCAAAATGGGGTCCCTGGCTTGCACTTACCGGTTTGAGCACTCACAACAGCGAGAAATGCCTCAAATCAAAAATATATAATTTCAAAGTTGCAGCACTTTGATTCAGAGGAGCTAATGCATTGGAATGCCCCCTCTGAATGTGTGACGTCAGCGCAGATCTAACGATTTTAACCCGGCAGGCGGTGGGCCTACTAGCCACCTTCCGCGCGGTGGGGGGGGGGGGCATTTTTTGCCACCCCCTCGTATCTCCGAAACTACTGGACGGATCCGGAAAATTCAAACGGCGTTCGATAGCCCTGTCAAATTTGTGAAGAGAAAACAAATTTCATTGACCTCGGGGTCACCGATGACGTCACAGGTCAGGTCAAAGATAAAATGTTTCACCGTTCACGGGGCTTCTAGGGAAAGTGACACTGAGTAAAACGCATTTTGTCGAAAATCAGCGATAAGGCGTCAGTTGTCTAGTACATATGTTGCTATTAGAGGTCACTGGTCATACCAGGTCAGGTCACAGGTCAGGTCACCAAAGGTCACCAAGGGTCACCACATGAACCCAACTTTACTAAGGTTGTGCGATGCATGTTTTATGGCCAGTTTTTCATTTCCAACTCAATGGTATTGGTTATAAGACCATCAGGTACGGTTTAGGTCACTTTCTGGTGGAGGTCAGGTCAAGGTCAGGTCAAAAAAGTTCAAATTTCAAAGTTGATATTTTTGCATAAAATGGGTATCGATTCGATGCAGCTCGTCACGGGGAGTCGAATGGTGGTTTTTGTTTTGCGCTACGAGGTCTAGAATTGCTAAAAATTGAGTTTGAAAGTTTGACGTCATCAATTTTGAACAGTTTTTTCGCTATAACTTGTCCAAAAAAAAAGAGGTATTGATTTCAAATTTGGTATGTAGATAGAAGGCGGTATGGACTATCACATATATTCCGTTTTTTTTCGAAATTCAAAAATCTTTTAGGATTTTTCGGCTATTATTTTCAAAAAATCTATTTTTTATTTTTATTTTTGGTCAAAATCCCAAAAATTCGAAAAACCGAAATAGCAGTTTTGTAGCCCTCTTGATTCCACACCTTAAATGTCGAATCATTTTTCTGTATCTCTAAAGCTATAGGCCTGACAGCTCTTCCAGCGAAACCTTTTTTGGGTCGAAAATGGCAAAAATGACGTCACTCTGACGTCATTAGCGGCCAACCTATCATAGCCTTTGGAAAATTTTTGATCACCATGTGCGCTAGCTACTCCCGGGAGGGTACTGAAAGTTTGGTGACGATCGGCGCAGCGGTTCTCGAGATATATTTAAAAAACTAAAGGGGGGGGGGGGCAAAAAAATGCCCCCCCCCCACCGCCTGGAAGGTTAAATCTTTTACTAAAACGTTTGGTAGGACGCGGTGGTATATGCTATTTGCGCGCAACAAATGCCGCACTTTCAGCTGCCTCCAAAAAAAGTCGCTAGGAACAGCGGAGATCCCAAAAAGTAAACAAAAGTAAAAAGTCTAATATCTTGAAAAACGGTGAATATTTTTCGGTGAAATTTGCTAGATATTCGTTTTCGCTCTTTCTGAACCGAGCAACATTACCTTCATGCCAATTCATTAACTTTTTTGAAGGTGGGAGGGTCCCTTAAATAATGAAAATGAAAGACAACTTTACAAGGCTTCTGAACTAGGACCTATATACAAGCATACGCATTCTGCTCGAATCTCGTATACATATCGTATACGTATCTCGTGTACTGCCTTTTCGAAGTACTTAGACCAACGAACGACTGTATCAATGCGGCTTATCTCGGGTATTTATTACCAGCTGTGTTGGTCGGTGAAAGTAGCTGGCCATCTTACCCTACCCATGTGCAGGAGCGTAACCACGCAAGAAAAATGGTGCGGACAAACTCATAGGGGGCAACCGGCGCCATCCTTCAAGGGGGCGCCAACCTTCGAGGGGGCGCCATCGCCTATGAGAGAAATGGGGTGCGAAAGAGGGGCGCCTTCATGTGGAAGCGGTTAGCGGACAGTGACGTAGCCACTAGCCTTTCGTGACCTGACCTGAGTTTACTGGGACTCAAATGCCCAAAATAGTTCCTGAAATTTGGTGACGCAAAGTGCCACGGTGCTTACGCTATTAGCAAAAACTATTATTCCGTTTTCCTAGCTAAATTTTCCAATTTTACCCTGAATTTGTACCAGTTTTTGAGTAATCTGATGACCTGGCCTGAAATGACTGGGACTTGAAATCTTCCACGTATGTGTAAAACAATATCCAGAGCGTATGCTTAATTTGGCGGCGCTACGCGTCGCCGTTTTTTTTACACTGCGAAAAAAACCTAGGTAAGGGCTGCCTCACCCCCTGGCCGGGCAAAGTTTAAATTATCTTTCGCTTGGCGACACTGAAGTCTCGGCGCCGAACAACCTTTTTCATCTGAATAGAATTGTGCCTTCTAGTGGAAAAGGTTACCTGTTACCAATAGACGAATGCTGAATCCTTGAATCATAAAAATGCACTACAAAAAGATAGGGCCATCTAACCGTCATTCGGCATACCAATACACACATACCTACATAAGCACGTTGTACAACATCTTTGACCCCTAAGAGCCTACCACGTGTCTGTCGCCCTTACCGCTACATCGTGTCGCTTCTAATCGTTTTGTTGCGTTACTTATCAGGCACTTTTTCTGCTCCCAAATCCTCAGTCCCAACATCATGCTGAGCCTCTGCCAGCAGCTCTTCATACATGGTCTGAACAACATCACGAGCTGTTGTGTTCTGGAAGACCTCCTGCGGGCGATACCCGAAGAGGAACAGGTCCTGCAGGTAGTGTCGCAGCACGCCCCGCAGTCCGTCCGACGGCACAGTGCTCACCAGGCTCTCCGTGACGCCCGGGGTGGCCGACCGGTACCCCTCGGGGAACTTGACCGAGGTGATGTTGGCGGTCCGCAGCACGAGCCGGGCGTCCTCGGCGAGGGAGGCCGTCCTGCCGAGCACCGTGTACGGGATGGTGCACGGGTGACACATGTCTGTCATCGGACGCCAGTGCTCGTTCTGAGGCCCCTCCATGGGCTCGCCCTTGTTCAAGTCGAAGGGACCCGCCGCTACGACCCAAGCGGCGAATCTGTCAAATGTTATTGTTGGCAGGTTATTTGAATGACCAGATGACCGCAATGTTTCAGATTTGTTTAGGCGAGCCTTGTCGCTTTTTGGGTGACCCATGATCTCAACTGCATGTATCCTCCTGAACCGGTGCGTCGAATTCGGCCCGAGTTTATCTCGGTAACCGGAGACCATCCTCTCGAGGGGGTGGCGCACGAACATGAAGGAGGTGTACGTCTCCAGCCGGCGGCGAATCTCGGGCTCAGAGAGCTGCGACAGCGTACGGTGCACGTAGTACATGTGAGCCTTCTCATGGTCGATCGCCTCCAGAGACGTGTTTGGGAGTGTTCCCGTCAGTATTCCGAACATCTTCTTCCACTGAGTGCAAGAAACCTGAAAAATCAATGGCCAACTTTAGAAATCTCAGAAAATTCCCATGATGATGAACATAATCTCAATAACAAGCTTTCTTGATGTAACAATGCTAAAAGTAAAATACAGTAGGTACTATATACAGATTCGCTATTAACCAGAAATTCACAATCCGCGCCGAAATGCATTAACCCTCGCCGGCACAGGGGAGGGGGGTTAATGGAACCCCCCTAAGGTTTTTCGCAAATAACTCGCGTAAAAAGCGGACGATCACGACGAAACTTTCAGTACCCTCGCATTTATCAATTTTACACCTACCCTGAAAATTTCATGACCCTGACCCAAATAACCTTTGACCTGTGACCTACTTTCCGAGACCATGTTTGGCCGGAATCGTGATTCGGCGTATGTCGGCTCGCATTAGCCGCGCGTTTGCAAGCTTTTCGTGGTTTCAAACGTTCAAACATGTGATTTGATGTTGCTCCCATACATTAGGGTGGGTGCAAGGTCATCTGAAAGTCAGGTCAGGTCAATGACCTTTGGTGACCTCGGGTGACCTCGGTTCGCTTTTTCGAGTTTTGCATGTTTTTAGGCTAGTTTTTGGAGCTGAATTCGAATTTAGCAACCATTTGAACATTTACGAAGTAGTTTTGGTGCCTTCGTAACATGTTACGAAGCTGTTAGAGGCGGTTGACAGTTGACACGTATTACGAATACCCGTCACAACCCCTACCGGTTGACCTGACCTGACCTGACCCGACCTGGTCTAAATGCTTAAAGACATTATCTATGATCAAAACTAACACGATATTCGTGATCAGCACCCCGGAAAACCACATAGCAGCCACACTTTACGACTTTCTAACAGGTCCCGATTTTCCCGGTTTTCGGGTCATTGACCTGACCTGGAAGGTCACCCGATGAACTAGGACCTTAAAATTGGGTATCATCGGCTTCCTCTCGTGACGGGCAGCACGCTCGTTTTTTTTTCCGCGAAGCTCTAGCTCGATCAGGGGCCAAACGCGAGGAGGGTCGTACCCCCCCCCCCCCTTGTGCCGTCGAAGAACGCAAAATGGCCTGTGCCGGCGAGGGTTAAGATTTTTACAGGCATGCCAGTGAAGTTAACGTTAGCTTGTCTTTGGAGTCATATGTATGAGAAAGTAAGAGAGTCAGAGAGAGAGAGAGAGAGAGAGAGAGAGAGAGAGAGAGAGAGAGAGAGAGAGAGAGAGAGAGAGAGAGAGAGAGAGAGGGAGAGAGAGAGAGAGAGAGAGAGAGAGAGAGAGAGAGAGAGAGAGAGAGAGAGAGAGAGAGAGAGAGAGAGAGAGAGAGAGAGAGAGAGAGAGAGCAGCAGTGTTAACATTTCAGAGTTCAGACCCATCCGAATGCCGAATGTTTAGGTATCTATTTTATGTTTAAAACCCAGAATGCTTGTTATACCTTTGGAATATAGCAGTATATCAGCTTGTGTTTGTCGTCATATATCAATTTCTGCAGCAACCATGGACGCTTTATGATGTAGTCCAACGTCTTTTTAGGCCTCCAGAACCTTGTGGAGTCGCAACGCTTGCTGAGCATTGTGTGCCGTTGTTCTTGAGACATGTTGTCGTCTTCTCGCGGCATAAGCGTTTGTTCTGAAAAAAATGAAGGTTTGTGTGTATGACATTAATTTTCAATTGCTTGTGGAAACTGATGTTATTGGAATCGCAGACACTAATTGAAATCATTGGATATTCAATGAGTGTCATGCGGCCCGCATACCCCGGCCACTGTAGCCGTCGGTGATTGAGCCCTGCATATACTCGTAGACCCATACCAATGACATCAGTTTGCAACAAATGCGTGATTGGCACACTTACCAACTGCGTCTTGTATTCGGGAGATTAGGCTCCGCGTTTCTGTTTTCTTGTATACGATCGTGAAAGAAAACATCACAACACACAGGCATAAGAGCATCCCACACTTAAGTATTTTGCATGATGTTGTTCGAAGGCGGAGCATCTGCAAAAAAAGTAAGCAAATGCTTAGGCATGCTTAGGCGCATCCAACTAAAGGAAGTGAGAACACATGCTGAGCACATTAGAGATAACATAACAATCAATTACCTACACGAAGGTTATTGCCACGTGTGTCAGTGTCACTGATAGTAGCCGAATGATCAACAAGAACTATAGCAGAGTGGTGTTTGGGCAGATAAAGAGGTGAGGAAGACGCCAGCCGCTGCGTGATTCCAGCCTCTCGATGGCGAGACTACTGTAATTAGGCAAATCCACCGATACTCCGGCGTCTCCATGGCGAGGCTATCCGGAGCCGACAGTTTGCACCTCTATCTAAGCGGAAACCCCGCACCCAGGTCAAGTCACCAAGGGTCAGCACATCAACCCAATTTTACTCTGGTTGTGCGATGCATGTTTTATGGCCAATTTTTCATTGCCAGCTGAATGGTGTTGGTTATGAATGGTTGAACGTTATAACGATTTTTCCCGATTGGTCATTGATCTGACCTGGAAGGTCAACCGATAGCTTAGGACCTTAACCCACGAGCCGCTGGGGGGGGGGGGGGCATAAAGTTGCCCCCCCTTTACGTTTTGTGAAATATCTCCGAAACCTGATGAGCTACGAACGTGAAACTTGGCATAGCTTCAAATGAATACCTAGGCAATGTTTGAGGAAAGTTTGGTGGTTGTAGCACCTAAGATGACGTCACAGTGACGTCATACAGTTTTGTCGTTTTCCGATATGGACCGTTTCTGATGACGCTGAGCATGAAACTCGACTGTAAATGAACTAGACAGCACCTGCTGTCATCCTAAAACATCTTAATACACTTCTATCTAGTTTCTGACCAATAATCGGCCCTTTATATTCGGTCCCATATATGTGATGTATCGTGAGGAATATGAGAGTCGCAAATCTATAATTTCACTTATGACGTCACTGTGACGTCATTTCAAATGGGATCGACACCAAATTTGGACACAACCTCGGCTAGGTATTCAGGAAGATGTGTGCAAAGTTTCGCTTCTCTATCTCTTCGCGTTGCGACGATATCGTCGCAGAAGTAAAGGGGGGGCAACTTTATGCCCCCCCCCCCCAGCGGCCGGCGGGTGGCGCGGAGGCCCAGCGGCCGCCGGGTTAAAATGGGTATCATCGGCATCCTCTCGTCACGGGCAACACGCTCATTTTTTGCGAAGCTCTAGCTTGATCAGGGGCGAAACGGCAAGAGAGGTCCAACGGACCCCCTCCCCCCACCCACCCCCTTATAGTTCGCGGCTGGCAAAACACCAGCTTTCGTAACGCTTTTGATGTGAAGTCACTTGAAACGATTTCCCAATGTCCGCGTCTCTTACCATGGTTTCTGCAAGCGGTGCTCCTACAGTAACGTTACCAACACTGGCTAAAGATTAGCCCGCTGCTGTCGGTGGTGGTAGCGCAGCTCTAACTGGGATGGGCTCACCCACACGATCACTATCGCCCTCATTTGATTGCACTATCAGCGTTCGGGTTAAGCTGCCATATATGCAAGCACCGGTTAGCAGCCGATAACCTTATGTGTCGAGCGCGCAGCAGAGGTGCTTCGGCGCCGCAGCACCGACTCGGATCCTTTCGTCTTGTTAAGCCCGGTAGCTCGTAACACCACGTGCATTTATCTTTATCCTTTAATAATATACGCTCTCCGTCTGCGCTTCCAAACAGTGGTAGGTATTATGACTTCGTCGTCTGTTGCAAAGTTGCAAGGTGATACACGATGTTTGATGGTGGGTCTAAAACGGACCTCATTTTATTAGCAAGGGTTTCTCTAAGTTGTTACACAGGTGTGTTATTCTGCTTCATTTTTTTCTTTGATTTCTTGTTAAAGCATATTTAACCCGCGCCCCACTGGGGTCTGTGTATAACACGCCCTACTGGGGGGGGGGGGCTATTCATAGCCCCCCCCCCTCCTAACTCCGAAACTACTGGGCCGATCGTCAAAATTCAAACGGCGTCTGATAGCCCCGGAAAAACTGTCGAGCGAAACCTAATTTTATTGACCTCGACGTCACCGATGACGTCACAGGTCAGGTCAAAGTAAAAATTATTAGCACTTTGGCTTGTTCACATTTTGGGCTCTGGCCGCCGTCTTACAAGTCAGATCAGGCTCATTTTTGGTTTCCACACTCGTGAACAGATGCTCTAGATACCTTGAGGGTACCAAACTTGTACTTTGATTTTCAGGTCAGGGTCAGGTCATCACAGGTCACGAAAATATTATATCATGCGTCGGTCACGTGACACATGTTTTATGGTCCATTTAGGCCATATATTTCGAATTTGATGTCGTCTGTGTCATTCGAGGTCATTTTGAGTCGAATTTAGCTTAGGTCAGGTCACTTTCAGGTCAAAAAAGGTCAAATTTTGAAGTTAAAATTTTTCCACAAAAAAGGTGTCTATTGGATGCAGTTTGAGCTCAGGAACACGATGGTGCCATTTATATTGGTGTACGATGTCAAATACGTACTGAAAAATTGATTTGAAAAATTAATAATTGTGATTTTTTGCAATAATGCGTATAACTTGGCCATTTTTGAAGATATTTAGCTAAAACTTGCTAGAGTTAGTCATAATCATGCGTTCTGTCACATATATTTCGGTTTTTTCGAAAAGTCAAAAACTTTTTGAAAAAAAATGTAAAAATATAAATTTTGAATATTATTATATAAAATTTTCGAAATTTTCAAAATTTTGAAAATCCGAGATAGCAGTTTGATAGCGCGGTCAATTCTGAGTTCTTTCATGCAAAGAAATTGGATCTAGCTTAAAAACTGAGCTCTTGGGAGCGATTGCCGTGGTTCAATGTTTTGCGTCGAAATCGGACGAACATGACGTCACTCTGACGTCATTTCCGGCCGACCTATGGTAGCTACGAAGTTCAAATTTTGACACAAGGTGTCAAATTGATGCAGCCGAAGGTACTGAAAGTTTGGCGTTGATCCGTCGAGCGGTTTAGAAGTTATTGCAGAAAAACGGGAGGGGGGCTATAAATAGCCCCCCCCCAGTGGGGCGCGGGTTAACCCGCGCCCCGTTGGGGTCTGCCAAGCAACGCGCCCTGCTGGGGGGGGGGGGCATTTGCACCCCCCTAAGATCTCGAGAACCACGCAACATAGCGACAAGCGGCAAACGATGCTGGATAGCCCCAGTAGGGAACTACCTTGTGACACAATTTCATTGACCTAGGTCAGCCCGATGACGTCACAGGTCAGGTCAAATGTCGAACTTTCACCGTTTACAGGCATTTCAAGAAATGCGTTGTAAAATCGAGTAAAATGGATTTCATTGAAAATCATCGATGGGGAAATGTTCGCCAAACCCATATTTTGCTATTTGAGGTCACTGATACCAGGTCAGGTGACAGAGGTCAGGTCACTGTGGGTAACAATATGAAAGTAGCATGTGATGCATGTTTTATGGTCCATTTTATGGCAAATGCGATAATATGGGTCAGGCAGCCTTTGGAGTCAGTTTAGATTATGTTCTTATGAAGGTCAGGTCAAGGTCAGGTCAAGGTCAGGTCAAGGTCAGGTCATATTAGGACAAATTTCAAAGTTGATACTTTTGCACCAGTATAACGCCTTTTTGGGCGACTAACGGAGCGAGCGAGAGGGTGAGCCTTTCACGTGCGAAATTTCGAAGGGGTACCTCCAACTGACTTGTGCACGGCACCCTACTAACCGGTCTCTAGCGATGTGCCAAATTTGAGCACAATCGGCCCAGCCGTTTTCGAGAGCTGGAAGCAACACCCTGCACGTGCGCACGTGCAAAATGGGTCCCGACTGACTTTTGCATGGCACCCTACTAACCGGTCCCTAACTGTATGTATACCAAATTTGAGCGAAATCGGTCCAGCAATTCTCGAGATCTGGAATCGACCCCTGCACGTGCGCACGTGCAGCAGCACCCCAACTCTGGCACATGGATATGCAGTGCCTAGTGGGTGCCTACCTACATGCCAACTTTTAGCGCAACCGGCCAAGTAGTTACCGAGATATTGCGACAATTACAAAACTGACGCCTCTTCGTTTTGCACGTGGCACCATAGGCGGCGGAACGGGGAGGGCACCGGGGCACCGTGCCCCCTTTGATTTTGGTATTTCATAACATTAACCCTATGGGCGTTGCATGGGAAGAATGGGACCAAAAGTCCACAGTGCCGCCCCCCTTAATTGAAGATGTTCCGCCGCTACTGCGTGGCACGTGCATGAGGGGTCACCCACATGCATCGGGAATAGCCCAATACTTGGTAGAAGGGATGAAGCTACCCTATACAATTTACCGCATGTAAATCGGTCAAGTGGTTGCTGGGACATAAGCCTCGCAAAAGCGTCCGCACAGCCGGCCGGCCGGCCGCTCATACTCGGAAATTTCCGTTAATCTAACCCGCGCCCCACTGGGGGGGGGGCTATTTATAGCCCCCCCTCCCGTTTTTCTGCAATAACTTCCAAACCGCTTGACGTATCGACGCCAAACTTTCAACACCTTCGGCTGCATCAATTTGACACCTTGTGTCAAAATTTGAACTTCGTACCTACCATAGGTCGGCCGGAAATGACGTCAGAGTGACGTCATGTTCGGCCGATTTCGACGTAAAACATTGAACCACGGCAATCGCTCCCAAGAGCTCAGTTTTTAAGCTAGATCCAATTTCTTTGCATGAGAGGACTCAGAATAGACTGCGCTATCAAACTGCTATCTCGGATTTTTCGAAATTTTGAAAATTTCGAAAATTTTATATAATAAAATTCAAAATTTATATTTTTACATCTTTTTCAAAAACTTTTTGACTGTTCGAAAAAACCGGAATATATGTTATAAAACGCATTATCATGACTAACTCTAGCAAGTTTTAGCAAAATATCTTAAAAAATGGCTAAGTTATACGCATTATTGCAAAAAATTAACAATTAATAATTTTTCAAATCAATTTTTCAGCACGAATTTGACATCGTACGCCAATACAAATAGAACCATCGTGTTCCTGAGCTCAAACTGCATCCAATAGACACCTTTTTTGTTGAAAAATTTTAACTTCAAAATTTGACCTTTTTTGACCTGAAAGTGACCTGACCTAAGCTAAATTTGACTCAAAATGACCTCGAATGACACAGACGACATCAAATTCGAAATGTTTGGCCTAAATGGACCATAAAACATGTGTCACGTGACCGACGCATGATATAATATTTTCGTGACCTGTGATGACCTGACCTTGACCTGAAAATCAAAGTACAAGTTTGGTACCCTCAGAGTATCTAGAGCATCTGTTCACGAGTGTGTGATCCAAAAATGAGCCTGATCTGACTTGTAAGACGGCGGCCAGAGCCCAAAACGTGAAGAAGCCAAAATGCTAATAATGTTTACTTTGACCTGACCTGTGACGTCATCGGTGACCTCGAGGTCAATGAAATTAGGTTTCACTCGACAGTTTTTCCGGGGCTATCAGACGCCGTTTGAATTTTGACGATGGACCCAGTAGTTTCGGAGTTAGAAGGGGGGCTATGAATAGCCCCCCCCCCAGTAGGGCGTGTTATACGCAGACCCCAGTGGGGCGCGGGCTAAGGAAAGACTCTGCTCGCTTCGCTCGCTCCGTAAAAAAAGATAAAAAAGATAACTAAAATATCAATCAAAAATATCATATCAAAAAGATAACTAAACAAGATCTCTATGAATTAACTGTGAACCAATCCGCAATATTGCGGCCTATAAAGCCGCAGCTGCATGTGGCTGCGAGCTGTAAGCTATACATACATATTTTAAAAATAAATAAAACAAGGTCCTTCTCCGAAATGTCTATAAAAAGACTGGCCTATTCGCTTAAAGTTAACCAGAAAATTTCACCAAACTTACCGTCAGTCTGCCCCGGTATACCGACCTCGCGTTGCACCGTCCGGCATTCAAATGACCCAGGGGGAGAGGGGAGCACCGTTCCGTGACCACCATTGCATAGGCCTTGCAACTTTGCGTTGCTCGCCAATCAGCTTAACACTAGGTGTTACGTCATCAGTGTGCCTGACGTTTGCCCAATCAGAGCAGTGCATCACTGTGCATGCACAGGATGCCCGATCAATGCTCAGGTGTTAGCAAATTGCATCGGTGCTTTGGCAGCGAGGTGGAACACACCAGTGGGCATGAGAACGCCAAAGACTTGGAGCTAGCTCAATAATGAAGGTCTACACGCGTATTCAGGCCCATTCATTTAGACTGCCATGCACGGAGTTTGGTAGCGTTGCAGGTCCGTAAGTATAAGTGCTCGTAATTTAGCGTTCCAGCGTAGTGCACTCTTGTAATGAAGTGCGGCAGCAGCCGGTATTCGGGACAGCACCGGGGATTCCTTTGGACCACGGGTGGCCACAGGGAGTAGGCCGTGTCATGGGGTCACCGAAATGGGCCCTCCCGGTCCTTTCAATCTTTATTTCAGCTCATTTTTACACGGTCT